TTTTAGAGTGGAGGTGCTTTTAATAGCCCCTACTTCACAAGGCTATTGTGGGAAGTCAATGAAACAACAGTGGAAAGTACCTGGCGTGGCACCTGGAACTTGGTGAGTGCTCTGCAAATGTTGGTTATTACTGTTGAGCCACTGCCACTTTTATCCAAGGCTGACTGGCAGAGTGGTGATTGATTTGGGGTGTCTGTCCATCTTCACAGGTGAGGCCCCTTCTTCCCCCCTCTGCTGGGGTCTGCACATCCCTATCACAGATCCCAGCAGGAGGTAATCTTGAGCACTTCATGGGCAGCCTCTGAATGCCATGGTCTCAAGGGCACCTACCTTGGTCACCCATAGTCACTTAGCCTTAAGGACCCAGCGTGGCCAGCCAGCATGCTGGGTGGCTTCCCACAAAGATAAGCCTCGGGGGGCACCTGTGGCTCCTGATCGGGTCCTGGCCAGTTTCCCCTGGGGAATGAAGGCTGAGCTTTGACAGAATCGAATGCCTTCACCGCTTTCCCAAGCCAGCCGGTGAACACTTGCTCTGCTTCTGCCCAAAGATGCTCAGAGTCCAGGCTGCCTCACAGACCCAGGAAAGGCCAGCTACTCCTTGGGGGCTGAATTCACAAGCTCAAGAGCCACCCAACTCCACCCAGAGGGAATACCACCCTCCACCCCAGGCGCCCCTGTTCCCACAGCCTGGTGGGATCCAACTTGGGAACAGGCCTGCAGGTGACAGGCCTGGAAGTATGGGTCACTTGGCCCACAAATGAGAGCACATGTGCTGGCCTGGCTCACAGAGCTCCTTGCCCTGTAGCTGCAGGGAACTTCCTACATGGGAGCTGTCCCGATGCTGTCACAGAGTGAGCACTGGACTGAGGAGACCTAAACTATAATTAGGCACTGACATTCTCAACAAGCTGTGTGACCTGGAACAAGTCACTTACCTTTTCTGGGCCTCTGTGAATCCCTCTAAAAAAATGAGAAGCCTGGAGCAAATGATCTTTTAAGGCCTCTTCCAGCTCAGGCACAGAATTATAGGCACATAGTAGTGCCAGGTACATAGTAAGTGTTCAGGAAATAGTTATTTAGTAATTTAACAATGAGATTCAAGGCATGATTCTACAGGTCAAGGCACCCATCTTTCTCACTCTGCATTTTGCCTTTGCTGTTAGCTGATTTGTGTCAAGTGCCAGCTCAGGGCCTGGCACATAACAGGTGTTAAACCAATGTGATTGAGTCTATGCAGTATGTTTATAGTTGCTCAGGGACAAATAGAACAAAATTGACTGGACAGTAAGAGATGATCATGGGATCTCAGGGTGGACACGTGTTCCTCCTTGTTACAAGTTCCCTTCCCCTCTGGGCATATTGAAAGTCATGACATTGGAACTTAAAGTATTCATCAAGAATCACTGCTCCTTGTTCTCTGAACAACCTAGGCTCTGCTTTTGCTCACACTGCTTCTTCTGCGTGGAACAAGCTAATAAGCTAGCCTGCTGTTTTTTCATAAATGCTGGCAAAAGACCGGATTTCTAAGCCAGAGACAAAGAAAGGACTTCCCCCTCTTGGCACAGCAAGCAGAGTAAGCATCATTATTACATCTCTTTCCCTTGTTCTTAAGTTTCATGGGAGCAACACAAAAGGGCCCAGGTGGATGGGTGTTACACACAGGGCGTTTGCATTATAGCAGAGAAGCACCCAGCTTGGGAAACCCACCATTGTCCCCTCTTACCAAAACCACTTTTATAGTAAGCAATAAGCACGCTTGCTCTTTGTCTGGTAGAAGATGTTCCTTCATCCCTCAAAGTCGTTGGCTGCAAGCACAGTACTCAGAAACCACTGGGGAAGACGCAGTCATGGCCTTGCATTTTTGGCATACCCAGTGATAACATCCAGGGATGCTCAGAACCCATGGTGGTAGCCGCCCTACCCAACAATGCCCATCTCCCCTCTGTGCTTGGCAAAATTCTATCCATTCTCAAATGACACTTCGTTCTTGCAGCTTTCCCCAGCTCTGCCATCACACATACTCTCTCCTCCCCTCTTGTGTTTTCCTTATAATTCTCATCTATCCCTCTCTTTTGTGTCTACAACTGTCCCTCCCCTACCAGTGAAGTGCAAACACTTTGAGGTTAGGAGTTAGTCCTCTTCCTGCATTCCAAGCCCAGATTGTTTGCATCCAGGAGGTGCTTAGACCATATTTGTTGAGTTGGAACAATCAAGATCTTTGTGCATGGTTACACTTGTGCAGAGAGCCTGCTAGACCGCCTCTTGGAATGTCTTCAGGATTCCAGAGGCTAAAAATATCTCCCCAAAGCCACTGTATTGACTTCCTTGTAAGGAACAGGACTTGGCTGGTGAGGCTGAAGGTTTGTGCCCACCAGGTGGCGCTCCACCCTCAAATCTCCAGATGCCTTTTTTAGAAGAGAGAAGGATTCTCATCTCCCTCGAAATGTTTATTCGGTTAGGTTCCCCACTCACAGTAATAGTTTGTGTAGCATAAGCCGCTGTCATCAGTCCAGCACCCAGATTCAGCCCGCAGCTGCCTGTCCTAGCCCAGCCTTTCTCAAGATTGGCACTGGAGGGCACTGAGGATGTCCCTCCAAGGGTTGCTAAGTGACGGCGAAGGAAAAGCTCCAATATTGGAATCAGAAGACCTAGGTTTGAATCCCCACATTGACACTTGCTGGTTGTTTCTTTGGGCAAATCACATAGCCTTGCAAGTAAGTCCCTGTGAGAGCAGCTGAGAAAAAAATATAGGAAAGTATGTAAAAGCACTTTGAATGTGGACCTAGAGTCAGCCACACCGAGGCTCCTATTTAAACTGTCACCATCAGCTGTGAACATGGTCAACTTCCTTAACCCTCCAAACCTTGGTTTCTCCATCAGCGAATCAATAACTGCTAACAGCAGTTATTTTATAGACTTGGTGTAAGGATTAGGCAGAACAATGAGTATAAAAGGCTCATCATAGTGCCTACTGTATAGTAAGCATTCAGTTCATAATGATCACATATATATATTATGTATCCTTAACACCTAAAACAGAGCCTAGCACTTAATAGGTGCTTAGTAGCCATTTGCTGAATGGAAGGATTTCACAGATGAGGAAACTGAGGTTCCAGCACTAGGGAGTGATGAAGCAGTGATGCATAGCTAGGCAGTGTGCCTCCAGCGCCTGCAACCAGATCCTTTATACCATGCTGTCTTACTCAGATATGAGTGTTATACATCACCATCTGTTTATTTAAAATATGCATCCAGAGATTGCTCGGGCAGGGGCTGTGTTGGCAGTGCGAGGCATTAGCCCCCTGAGAAGCCACACAGTTTTTCTCCTCCAAGGGGCGCCAGGCTGCTGGAAGATGGAACTGCTCAGCCAGGCCAGGGGTCATGGACTCATCTCATGACTAGATGATGGACTAGTTCTGCAGAATAGGATTAGCTGCGGCTTTGGTGCATGCACAGCCCTTAGGGTAAGAGAGCCCTCTCAGGTTCACTGCTGTTTCTGCATCCACTCCAGTGACATTGACTAAGTCTCCTATGTGCCAGGCACAGGCAAAGATGAGTAAGGTGTGATAACCAATGGTTCAGATGTAGCAGACTCAGAACTACTGCAGAGGGATGCTTTAAGTAGGGGCCTAGAAGAGCCAGCAATCAAGTCTGGGAGGCTGAACCAAAGGGAGGATCATTTACACTGGGCATTGAAAGATGAGTAGCAGTGTGCCAGCTAAGTGGAGTCTGGGAATGAAGGGCATTCCAAGCTTATTTGGGAAACTTCAGAGGTTTGGTGAGGTTGGCATGCTGAGTGGAAGGACAGGTAAAGAAAGGAAGTGGAAAATCAGGAAATCAGAAGTCAGTTGAGGCCAGATTGTGAAATATGCCGATAGAAGAGATAGACCCCTATCCTGTGGTCAGTGGGGGAAGCAGTGTAATAAACAACCAGGTCTGTGTTTTACAAAGATTCCACAGCACACATAGGTTGGATCAGGAGAAAGAAGAGAGACCAGCTGCAATGACCAGCTTCCTAGTCCTAACCCCTCTAGGCTTCATTTCCCTCCTCGGTAAACGAGGAAAATAATTGTATATATCGCCTGGCCTGGGTTGTTTTGAGACTCAAATGACAAAACATGTAAAGCACAATAACAATAATGCGAAGCATCATTAAGCCTCCATTACAGGCCGTTTTGCCTAATAATTAAGCACATGGGCTTTGCTGTCTCTTAGGCCTGTTTGTGTCCTTGGCTGTGTTGGGTAGCATATTTTTAATCTAGGCAAGACTCCGTGGCAAGGAAGGTTGGAAAAAAGTGATTAGACTGGTAGGGCTTTGGTTTGTGGCGTGTGGGAGGCGCAGTGGGGCCTCTGGTGGGTGATGGTCCCTTTCTTTCACACGGAGAACTCGGACGGCTGAGACAAATCTGAGCCCAGCTTTGGACAGGATTAAGTTTGAGATGGGCACTGGCAGGATACTCCAGATGTTCAGGTGAGAATGGATGTCTATTGAAGACCAGCACTGCTCTCCTCCAGGCCAAGGCGCCAAGGCAGAGCCGGGAGGCCCCGATGGGCACTTAACAGGAGAAAGGAGAAAGAACGGCGCCCAGCCAGACACTGGAAGAACGCTCCGGAAGACAGCTTTCCCCTCCAAGGCTGGATCGGAGCCAGGGAGGCAGGGCGAGCAGGGTGGCCCCAGATGTGGCCAACTTCACTCAAGCCGGATAGAGCGGAAGTCCCGCGGCTGGCTCGGGGGGAAGCGGGGGGTGGG